GATGCCACCCGAAGGTTGCAGGAACAGCAACCCATATTCCGCTTGGGAACTCTGCAGCCCAATGGTATCAATGTGGATTTCACAAGCTTCAAAATCTCCCCTCCCCCGACCGCATCCCAAAACCAGTCCAGCTCGTCCCTGCCTCCCTAACCTGTTCTTCCTCCCACCTATCCCCTCCTCCCACCTCAAGCCGCACCCCCATCTCCTACCTGCTAACCTCATCCCGCCCCCTTGACCTGTCCGTCCTCCCTGGACTGACCTATCTCCTCCCTACCTCCCCACCTACACTCACCTTTACTGGCCCCATCCCCGCCTCTTCGACCTGTTTGTTTCCTCTCCACCTATCCTCTCCTCTATCCATCTTCTATCCACCTCCCACTCTCTCCCTATTTATTTCAGAACCCCCTTCCCCTCCCCCATTTCTGATGAAGGGTCTAGGCCCAAAACGTCAGCCTTTTTGCTCTTATGATGCTGCTTGGTCTGCTGTGTTCATCCAGCCCTGCACCTTGTTATCTCTTAACTTAGGAGGTCTGTAGATGTTTTTTAAGAAGTTGGAACAATGGAAGCAGCGTGAAGGGGAGTGGCCAGTTCTCACAGACCAGGCTTTCTAGTTTTCTTTTAGCTTTGTCAGTCAGAAGCTGTTTGGGTCCCAGAAGAGTTTGGAAGCTCCAGTGAATGATTCTGAGCTGTTACTTTCCTTGAAATCTCTCAATGTTCTTTCATCCTGGATTGGAGAACTACATATAAGAATCTCTATCTGAATTTACCTTTTTGCCAAAGGATGTGTTTATAGGGTGTTACTATTTCGGAACAATTAATTAGTAATTGATACTGTATCTATTATTTGGTTAAATTTTCCAATAGTTAAATTATTCTAAATTACTCTTTCGTTTGTTTGTATACGATAGTGTTTAAGTAAATTGTGTTTTGCTTAACGTCGAGTAGTTTGACCGATTGTACCTCACATCTACCTTTAAAAAAAGTAGTTGAGTAAAGTCATAGAATCATAGAGTAATACAGCATGGAAACAGGCCTTTCGGCCCAAACTGGTCGAAGCTGACTATGGTGCCCACTCAGCTAGTTCCAATTGCCTGAATTTGGTCCATATCCCTCTAAACCTTTCCCATTCATGTACTTGTCCAAATATTTTTTTAAATGTTGTTATTGTACCTGCTTCAACCACTTTCTCAGGTAGCCCATTCCATTTACGTACCACTCTCTGTGTCAAGAAGTTACCCCTTAGGTCCTTCTTAAATCTTTCCCCTCTCAATTTAAACCTATCCCCACTGGTTTTCAATTTCCCAAAAGATTAGATGCATTCATCCTATCTATGCCCCTCATGATTTTATACACCTCAATAAGGTCACCCCTCAATCTCCTACATTCCAAGGAGTAAAGCCCTATCCTGGCCAACCTCTCCCTATATAACTTAGGCCTACTAGTTCTGAAAACATCATCGTAAATCTTCTTTGCACACTTTCCAGTTTAACTATGTCTTTCCAAGAACAGGGTGACCAAACCTGTACACAATACTCCAAATGCAGCCTTAGCAACGACTTAGACAACTGTAACATAACATTCCAACTCCTATACTCAATGACTCAACCAATGAAGGCCAGCATGCTAAATGCTTTCTTCACCACCCTTGTCCACCTGTGACATTGCTTTCAATGAAATATGTACTTGTACGCCTAGATCCCTCTGTTCCACAACACTCCTCAGGACCTTACCATTTACTGTATAAGTCCTACCTTGGATTGACTTTCCAAAGTGCAACACCTCACACTTATCTGTATTGAACTGCATTTGCCAATCCTCAGCCCACTTCCCCATCTGATCAAGATCCCTCTGTAATTTTTGAAAACCTTCCTCATGACTAATGATACCTCCTAATTTTGTATCATCTACAAACTTACTAATCATGCTTTGTACATTCACATCCAGATCATTTATGTAAGTAATAAATAACAAAGGTCCCAGCACCAACTCCTGTGGCACACCACTAGTCACAGGCTTCCAGTCTAAGAAACAACTTTCAACCATCACCCTCTGCTTCCTACCATTGAACCAATTTTGAATCCAATTAGCTGGATCTCCCTGGATTCCGTGCGACCTAACCTTCATGACTAACCTGCCATGCGGGACCATGTCAAAAGCCTTACTAAAGTCCATATAGACAACATCCACTGCCCCACCCTCATCCATCCTCTTGGTTACCTCTTTGAAAAATCCTAAAAGATTTGTTAAACATGACTTCCCACACACAAATCCATGCTAACTATCCCTAATCAAACCTTGACTATCCAAATGTCGGTTGATCCTATCCCTCAGTATCCTCTCCAATAACTGGCCTGTAGTTTCCTCGCTTGTATTTGCTACCTTTCTTAAACAAAGGAACAACATTAGCCACCCTCCAGTCTTCTGGAACTTTACCAGTGGCTAAAGTTGAAGCAAAACTCACTGCAAGGGCCTCTGCAATTTTTTCCCTAACCTCCCACAACATTCGAGGATGGACTTGATCAGGCCCAGGGGATTTATCCACCTTAATGCAATTTAAGGCTGCAAACACCTCCTCTCTGGTAATATGTATGCGGTCCAAAACATCCCCACTTGTTTCCCTTATCTCTTTAGCATCCATGATTTTCTATTCAGTAAACACTGAGGAGAAATATTCAATAAAAATCTCCCCCATCTCCTGTGGCAGCACACATAGAGGCTATGCTGATCTTGAGGGGACCTATTGTCTCCCTAGCTGCCCTTTTACTCTTAATATAGCTATAGAACCTCTCAAGATTATCTTTCACCTTATCTCATTCCCTCTTTTTGCTCTCTGATTTCCCTCTTAAGAGTGCTCCTACATTTTTCATAGTCATCTGTGGATTCACTTGACCTTGATAGCTTAAACCCAATGTGTGCCTTCTTTTTCCTGACCAGAGCCTCAATATCCCTCATTGGCCAGGGATCCCTAAACCTGCCAGCTTTTCCCTTCACCCTAACATGCTGTCCCTGTACTCTGATATCACACTTTTGAAAGTTTCCCATTTGTCAGTCGTTCATTTTCCTTCAAACAGACTCACCCAGTTAATTGCTGCTAGATCTTGCCTAAAGGCCCCAAAATTGTCCCTGCTCCAGTTCTGCACCTTAACCTATGGAGCTGTCCTATCTTTTTCCATAACTATGTTAAAACTAAGAGACCTATAGTCACTGGAGCCAAAGTACTCTCCGACTTACATGTCAGTCACTTGGTCAGAGATAACAAGGTGTAGAGCTGGATGAACACAGCAGGCCAAGCAGCATCATAGGAGCAGGAAGGCTGACGTTTCGGGCCTAGATCCTTCTTCAGAAACTGGCCTCATTTCCTAAGAGGAGGTCCAGTGTTGCACCCTCCCGAGTAGGGTCCTCTACATATTGATTTAGGAAACCCTCTTGGTAACATTTGACAAATTCCACCCCATCTGGTCCTTTTACAGTCTGGGTGGCCAGTCAATAGATAGGAAATTAAAATCTCCAACCAATACTACTTTATTATTCGTACAAGTATCTGCAATCTCTCTATACATCTGCTTGTCTAGTACCTGCTGGCTATTTGGGGGTCTATAATACAGTCCCAATAGGGTGACCATCCCTTCTTTGTTTCTAAGTTCTAACCATATGGCTTCATTTGATGACCCCTTAAGAATATCTTCTCTATTACTGTTGTTATGTCCTCCATTATCAAAAGTGCAACCCCTCCTGCTCGCTTCCTTGTACTTCTGTCACACCTGTAGTTTTTGTATCCTGGAACATTGAGCTGCCAGTCCTGCCCTTCTCTCAGCCATGTTTCTGTTGTGGCTATAATATCCCAGTCCCCAGAGCCAATCCATGCTCTGAGCTCATCTGCCTTATCAGTCAGGCCTTGTGCATTGAAATAAATGCACTTTAAACCAGAAGTCTTTTCCCTCCCTTTACTGTGCCCCTGGCTAGCCTGAATAGTAAACCTGCTCTCAATGGCTAATGTATTTTACCCTGACTTCTTGATGGCCTCTCTCTTAATCAGGGTCCGACCCCCACCTGCCAAACTAGTTTAAACCCTCCAGGGCAACACTCGCAAATCTCTGATCCAAATCTCTGCCCCCCACACCAGCTGCTCAACCATGCATTTATCTGGTCTAACCTCCTATTTCTACCCTCACTGGCGCATCTCTGACATGTACTTACTTCTAGAATTTGTTTTGTGTTTCTTACTCTGAAGGTTGTTACAAAGTATTTAGTTAATATCTCTACTATTTCTTTGCTCCCCATTATATATTTTATTTTTCTACCTCATCTGTCCATATTTATTTTCACTCATCTATTCAGGAACAATTTACAATACATTCTTATTTTTTTCTGGTAGATTACATAGAAACAATAACATAAAGTCAGCATAGTCTTACTCTTGCATTAGGAAGAAACAACTGGGGATGATTCAATCTGAGGGTCACCATGCCTCAGGTGAGGGGAAAGGTTGAGAAGTAGAGTCCTTCATTGTTACCTCAGCCAGTGCAGAAATTGAACCCACTCTGTTGGCATTACCCTACAGCACAATCCAGCTGTCCGGCCAACTGAGCTAACCAACTTCTTCCCTCATTAATCATTTGATCATCCAGTGAAAGTCTGTTGCAATTGCACAGTGGATAGATGCTCGCAGCAGGAGCAAAACAAAGGAATGGAAGAGAACTGAGGTTGGAGTCAGGTTGAGCCAAGTTCAGGATCAGATCAGAATAGGTGTTGGGTGAAGTCAGAGCCGAGGTCAAGGCTGAGAGATGAAATGCGGCCTGGTGTGGAGGTGTTGGGAGTTGAGTTGAGCTGAGGAGTGAGTCCAAAGCTATGAAACTCTGGACTCATACTTTATTGAAGCATTAAATCAAACTTCCATTGAGGACGCCCAGATGAAGCATCTTCTTTTCAAATAGCAAGTGTATAAATTTGCATTACAAAATTCAACAATGTGAATTAAAACGAAAAAGAATTTTTCATACCAAGTCATCGAATATATCCCGTTGGTGAACGTGAATGGTAACAAGAGTTTCAAACTGGATTCTCTGAAATTTAGTCAGGTCGTGTGTTGTTTGGGCAATAAGAGAGTTCAGCAGCTCTAGGAATTTCTGATTAGTCGTCTGCATAATCTTTTTGCTGTCTTTTGCCAATCTAAGTGCATCTTCAGAGTCCCGTGTCCACAATATCTGGATTGCTAGAATTCCTACCTGGAAGTACAAAGTGAAATACAGATCTTATTCGTACAATAAATGATCCAAAAAAATAACTGGAACCAGAACACATGACTTGATAGAATGGAAGCAGAGACACTTTCCTTTTCAGGCTCTATTAATAGTTCCAAAGAGAAGAATTAAGAAAGAGACAAAATCCATCCTGAATTTTAAAGATCTGAAACTTGGATTCTGTAAAATCATTCCACCTGATATTTCCCTCCCTTCTAACTTGCTTAATTTTACTTTTTGTTCAACTGTATTCAAATTGTTTGAAAACAAAAAGCAAATGTATAATTCCTCTTCATAATATGAGAAGTTAGAGTTAAGCCAAATTTGGCCTGTCTTATGCAAACTGTCAAGCAATCATAACTTACTTTCATAATTTACTGATTGATTCAGCATAGTGAACCAAAACAATCTTTTCTCATTATCTTAATTATCCCACCACTCTCTGATATCTATATCATAACTTCTTGATTGTACTGACCTACATTTTCCAATCAGTATTGAGGCCAAGGTATATGCTGCCAATCATGAAATAAACTGTGATCTTACCTTTTACCACTGGAGCTTTAGAGTTGTCTGTTTCAATTGCAAGACATAGTCATCGAACAAAAAGCATCACCAAGGGGACCAGTGAAGTCCAGAGTGCCAAAGCAATGCCCCTTTTGATGTCAGCAGTGCATAGATGTTCAGCAGTCTTTCAGTGTCGTGATGAAAGTTTTGTAAAGTTCATAAAAATGTAAAAACATAAGCGCTACGAGGAGGAGTAGGCAGTTCAGTACCTTGAGCCAGCTCTGCCATTTGATATGATCATGGCTGAGCATAGCTTCAACTCCACTTCCCTGCCAACTCTCCATAACCCTTCAATCTACTCCTTACTAAAAATCCATCTCCTCCTTCAATTAACTCAATGTCCCAGCATCCACCACCCTCTGGAGTAGTGAATTCCATAGATTCATGACCTTTTGAGAGAAATAGTCTCTCCTCAACACTGTTTTAATTCCACTCCACTTACTGTAAAAGTATGACCTCTCATTACAGATTGCCCCCATCAGGAAACATTCCTTTCTACGTCTACTTTGTCAATGCCTTTAGCATTTTAGGTACCTCAACTAGATCTCTGCCCATTGTTCTAAAGTCCAGAGAGTTTAGGCCTAAACTGCTCAATGTCTCTTCATAAGACAAACCCCCCACCTCTAGAATCAATTTAGTGAACCTGCTCTGAACTGCCTCCAAATCAACTACATCTTTCCTCAAGTAAGGTGGATTTTTAATGTGTTTTTAAAATTATTTTTACTCTTGCAGCATCTATCATCATTAATGTCTTTAAATATCTTAACTATCTTTAAATACTCATTATGGAGAAATGGTTACAAGGGGATCAAAACTGGGAATATTCAGAGGTATGTGACTTCTTGAGAGGGCAAAAAGGGAGAGGGTGGTGGACAGCATTGTTAGTAGGGAATGGAATAAATACAACAACAAGAAATTTCAGATCAAAAGATGTAGGTTCCATTCAGGTGGAAGTAAAAAATTTTTAAAAATGAATAAGACACAGGTAGGAGTAGTCTGTAGGACCCCCAAAAGTAATTATACAGTAGGACAGAGAGAATATCAGGAGATAATGAGGGTACACAACAAAGGCAGTACATTAATCATAGATGACATTAATCTTCATGTAGAATGCAATAGTCACTCGGCAGAGAAAGTCATGAGAAAAAATCATAAAGTCTATTCACAAGTTTCCTAGAACAACATGTGGTGGGGTCAGGCTATTTTGGATCTGGTATTGTGTAATGAGGCATGTTTAATAAATGCTATCAGAGCAAAAGATCCTGAGCAAATGGTGACCATAATACGGTAGAATTTAGCATTCAGTTTGAGACAGAGAAACAAAAACAGAAGTTGCTGGAAAAGCTCGATAGGTCTGGTAGCATCTGTGAAGAAAAAATCAGGGTTAACGTTTCAGATCTGGTGAGGAACTTAAACTTAAATAGGGGTAATTACAAAGGAGTGAGGACAGAATTAGTTGGAGTGGACTAGGGAAGGAGCAATGGGGAGGTAATAGTATTATCGCTAGATTATTAATCTAGAAACTCAGCTAATATTCTGGGGATTCAGGTTTGAATCCCACCATGGCAGATAGTGGAATCTGAATTCAATAAAAAATATCTGGAATTTAGAATCTACTGGTGACTATGAAACAATTATCAGAAAAAAACCCAGCTGGCTCACTAATGTCCTTCAGGGAAGGAAATCTGCCATCCTTAACTTGTTTGGACTACATATGACTCCAGAATCACAGCAATGTGGTTGACTCTCAGTTGCTCTTTGAAATGGCGAAGCAAGTCATTCAGTTGTATCAATTGCTACAAAGTAGGGAAATCAAGGGTCAGGGGAAATAGGGAAAGTGGACATGAGGAAAGTCAGATCAACCAAGATCTTATTGAATAATGGAGCTTGTGGGGCAAACATCCTACTCCTGCTCCTATTTTGTATGGTCTTATATTAATAACTTGGATGAGAAGAGTGAATGTATTAGATCCAAGTTTGCGGATGACACAAAAATAGATTGGAAAGCTAATCGCAAAGTTGAATTAAAGAGTCTGCAGAGGAATAAAGACAGGGTTAAGCAACTAGGCAAAATCCTGGCAGATGGAATATCATATGAGGTTATGCACTTTGGCAGAAAGAATAGAGGAGCTTAACAGTCTTGAAATGGAGAAAGATGGTGGAAAGCTAAAGCACAGAGAAATTTGTGAATCCTTGTCATTGAATCGGATCAGCCATTATCTAATCGTATGTAGAGCTGGATAGTCTACGTCTGCTCCTATATTTTATGGTCTCATGGACCAATGTTTCCGCTAACATGTCTCCCACTGAGGAGATCTGTGTGTGGAAGCTAAAGCCACAATGTCACTTCACTGATTGGAGTGAGCAGATCTCCCAGAAGGACAGCCTTGCATCTTAGAAGAAACTTTGGGTGTGATCTAAGTTCAGAAAACGAAGACGTGGAAACAGTTTGGGTTAAAATGACAAATGATAAAAGACAAGAACTTACTGGTTGGAGTGGTGTACAAATCTCTAACGGTGCCCACCCAGTAAATTGGAGCTTTCGAAAGAAATAAAAGGAGCTTGTCAGAATGGCATGGTAAAACTTTAATTTACAAAAAGATGGGAAATATAAAATGGGAAAATATAGCCTTCTGAGAACTCCTGAGGAGTTAATAGAATGTTTTGGGATAGTTTCTACAAATAGCCAGCTCTGAAGCCTACGAGAGAGCAGAGTGTACAAGGCCGGATCTGTGCAGCAGACTATGTTTCATTAATGATCTTATCGTGAAGGCACACCTAGGTAAGAGTGATTGTAACATTATTAAATTTTACATTCAGTTTCAGAGAAAGTGGCCTGATTCCAAGTATATTTTTAAACTTAAATAAGGATAATTATGAAAGCAGCAGTGGCTAAATTAAATTGGCAAACTAGATTAAACAGTATTTCAACAGAGATACAGTGGTTCATTTTGAATAGTAGATGCGTTCAAACAAGTTTAAAAAAAGGCAAGGTACAGACCCACAATCTGTGGTTAACCGGAAAGGTTATATGTAATATTGAACTTAATGAAAAAAGCATATAATTATACAAAGGTATGTCAGAAGTGAAAACAGAGAATGCTGGAGAAGCTCAGCAAGTCTTTTCAAGAGAGAAACAGAACTAACATTTTGAGTCCAATATGAACTCTTCTGAATAAGTGTCATACTGGATTTGAAACATTAACTCTGTTTCTCTCTCCACAGATTCTACCAAACCTGTTCAGCTTCTCCAGCATTTGTTTTAATTTTGGACTTCCAGCTCTCATTGGAATGGACAGAATATGGTAACAGCAGAAAATTATTTAAAAATTAATAAGAAGAGAAAAGTTAGAGTTTGAGAAAAAGCTAGATGCAAGTATAAAAATAGATAGTAAGAATTTCTACAATATTGAGAAACAAGTTAACAAAGTGAGAGCTGGTCCTGTAAAAAAGTGTGTAGGAGAAAGGATGATGGAAAATAAAGGAATGGCAGATGAATTGAACCATTATTTTGCATTAGTTTTCAATAAAGAAGATTCAAGTAACATTGCAGAAGCAGCAATAAATCAGAAAATGAAAGGGAGAGAGGAACTCAGGAAACTTACAATTACCAGAGATGTTTATCTTGATCAACTAGGCCAGTGGACTGAGGAATGGCAGATGGAGTTTAATTCAGATAAATGCAAGATGTTGCATTTTGGTAAGACAAGTCAGGGCAGAACTTATATAGTTAATGCTAGGACCATGGAGTGTGTTGTCGATTAGGGGTGCAGGTACATAATTCATTGAAAGTGGCGTCATAGGTAGACAGGGAGGTGAAGAAGGTATTTGGTATGCTGGCCTTCATTGGTCAGAGCATTGAGTACAGGAGTTGGAAGATCATGTTACAGTTGTACAAGACAGTGGTGAGGCTACATTTATTGAACTGTGTACAATTCTCACTGCCCTGCTGTAAGAAGGATATTATTAAACTGGAAAGGGTGCTAAAAAGATCCACAAGGATGTCAGCAAGATTGGTAGATATGAATTATAAGAAGAGGCTAGATAGAATGGGACATTTTTCACTGGAATATAGGAGGCTGAGGGGTGACCTTACAGAGGTTTTTAAAATCATGAGGGGCATAGATAGGGTGAATAGCCAAGGTCTTTTCCCCTTGTGTTGGGGAGTCCAAAACTAGATGGCCGAAGTTTAATTTGAGAGGGGAAAGATTTGATTTGATTTATTGCTGTAACACGTACCTAAGTATAGTGAAAAGTTTTGTTTTGCATGCAGTACAAGCAGACCATAACATATAAGAACACATAGATCGTAGGGTGTTTAGACAGAGCGAGTCATACAAGATTATAACTGCACAGGAGATGCACAAAAGCAAGATCAACATTAGATTTGGAATTAGAGACGTCCATTCAGCAGTGTAATAATAGCAGGAAAGAAGCTGTTCTTAAACCTGTTGGTGCATGTGTTCAAGCTTCAGTACCTTCCACCTGATGGAAGAGGTTGGAAGAGTGTGTTACCGGGTTGGGAGGGCTCTTTGATGTTGGCTGCCTTTCCCCGGCAACAAGAGGTGTAGATGAGGTCCATGGATGGGAGGATGATCTGTGTGATTTAAAAGCGACCTGAGGGGCAGCATTTTCATACAGAGGATGGTGCATATAAGGAACAAGCTGCCAAAGGAAGTGATAGGTGTAGATACAATTACAACATTTAAAAGACATTTGGATGGGCACATGGTTTATAGGGGAATGGGCCAAATGCAGGCAAATGGGACTAGTTCAGTTTAGAAAACCTGGTCAGCATGGACTAGTTTGGGCCGAAGGGTCTGTTTCTGTGCTTTATGTCTTATTGACTCTGTGATTCTAAGTTGTAGTGATTACATTGTTGGAGCTGCAGGCTGACAAGTTCCCAGGTCCTGATATTCTATATCCCAGAATGTAAATGAGATGGCTAGTGAAATTGATTTATTGATTTATTAGTTTTGATTTTCCATACTCCCTAAATTTGGGAAGGTCCCATCAGATTAAAGCGAATATAATTCAAAAAGTGTGATTTGGTAGAATTACAGACCAGTTAGCCTAATATCAGTGCTGGTGAAAATGCTAGATACTTATAAAATACATCTTAACAGCAAATTTGGAAACCATTAATAGGATTAGAGAAAGTTAGCATGGGTTGATGAATGGGAAATCATGCTTAACTAATAAACCAGAATGTTTTCAAGGATTCATGCTACGCTAGGTCAAATTGGGCCTTGATACCAAGAGCAGTCATTCTCACCTCACTTCTGAAATTCAGCCTTTTTGCCCATTTGAACGAAGACTGTAAAGAGGTCATGAGCTGTGTAGTCTTGACAAAACCCAAACTCAATGTTCATTGTTACACCAATAACTGATCCACAACAATCAAGTATCTTGTTTTCCAAGGTCATTCTTTAGAAGACAGCCTTAGAAAACTACTAGGAATGGCATGTGAAAGAAGATTTTGAGCTACTAGTATAAATTGTTTTATAAAAACCAGAATATTATAGCCTTTACACCTATGAAATCAAGTCCAGATTACAGGCATGGCCTGATTCTAAGAAAGGATGATGGCATAAAAATCAAAACATTAATTATCTTTATTGATTTACCTGGCCTGGAGCCTCATACAGGAAAGGTATAAGCTGGAAATCTGGCTCACTGAAGCTGTAATATGCTAATTTAATCACAGTATGCAATGATGCTTGTTGTACACGCAATAAATCACTTAACCATAGCTCCACAGGACCTTTTGCAATCACTGGGTGATCCAGCTGCAAGTCAAACATGAAAGAAGACATGATAAGTGACAAACACGCATCATCATTCATAATAATAGCGTATAACAGGTGGGATATTTAAACATGTTCAGAAACATTGAAATAAGGAAAACACATTGTTACTCACTAGCTTTCAAAGAATATTTTAATCTTATGTGGGGATTTCAGATGGAATACGCTTTGTTAAAGTGTTCATGGGGCATGGTTGTTCCTGGCTAAGTCTATTGCCTACCTGTAATTGCTCAGACTGCATTGCTGTGGGTCTGGAGTCACATGTAAGCCAGACCTCGTAAGGATGGCAAATTTCCTCAGCCAAAGGATGTTAGTGAGCCAATTGAGTTTTTTCACAAATTGGCAGTTGTTTAGTGCTAGTTGCCCTAACGCTAGTTTTTATTCAAGAATTTATCAAATTTGGATTTGCTTTCTGCCATGGTGGTATTCAAATCCATATTCCTAGAACATCAGCTGAGGCTTCTGGATTAATGGTGAAGTGACATTACTACCATACAAACACCTCTTCCTTGTGTTAACAAAAATGTATGTTCTGTTACTAGAGAATATCTGCTCCCTGAATATGTTTTAGTCACTAATGATCACATTGACCAAGTTCAAAATGAAAAATATGATGCATCAAGCCAGGTTTCATTCAGTAATCATTAACAAAGGTTAAGTTAGAGGACGCAGCAGAGGAATTTAGTGTCACCTCGAAATTGGGAATTGCAAAAACAGAGAATGCCGAAGTTATGGCACAGAACTTGAAGCTTGAGAAGAAAAGTATAGTTTTACTAATATAAAACAAAGAACTGTGGAAGTTGGGGATCTGAAATCATCAAAAACAGAAATTGCTAGAGAAACACAGCTGGTCAAGTTCTGAAGAAGGGTTGCTGGACTCGAAATGTTTACTCTGTTTTCTTTCCACAGATGCTGCCAGACCTGTTGAGTTTCTCCAACAATTTGTGTTTTTGATGATTTAGCTGATGTTCAAATTAGAAGGCAGAGCAAGGAGAACTTGAAACAGAATTAGAAAGGGAGAAATTAGAAAGAGACAATAAGACTAAGGAAAGAGAAAGAGAATTGGAATGATATAAGCTGAAAAGCTGTACATTAGAAGGGAATTATGAGGATGGCTCAAGGCTAACATCACATGGTTTTGATTTGGTTTCATATATTTGGTGGCACACAGATTTAATGAAGAAATGGAAAATTATTTTTTGTAAATTCAAAAGGATGCTACAAAAACTAAATTACCTAAGGAAAATTGCATTGTATTTCTACAGAGAGTTTTCACAGGAAATGTAATGGGGAAGTTCTGGTCTCTCTCAAAGGCAGTGACATAATGATAATGTCACTGGACATGTAATCTAGAATCCCAGACTAATATTCTGGGGATGTGGGTTCAAATCCCAGCATGGCACTTGGTGAAAAATGAATTAAATAAAAGTCTGGAGTTAAAAATTAATCTGATGGTGACCAAGTAAACCCTGACGATTGTCATAAATAAACATTTGGTTCACTAATGTCCTAATCTGCTGGCTTTACCTACCTGTGACTGCAGATCCACAGCAATGGGATTGAATCTTAACTACCCTCTGAAAGGATTGAGTAAGGGCAATTAGGGATCAGAAACAAATAGTGAATTTTAAATTTATTTTAATTCATTCTTGGAATACAAGAATCTCTGGCTTGGCCAGTATTTATTGATCATCCCTAATTCCCCAGAAAGCAGTTAAGAGTTAACCACATTGCTGTGTATCTGGAGTCACATGTAAGCCAGACCAGGTAAGGATGACAAATGTTCCTGAAGCTCTTTAGCAAATCAGATGGGTTTCACAATAATCAACAGTGGTTACTTTATCATCATTAAGCATGCTTTTTATTCCAGATTCTTCTTGAATTTGAATTTCATCAATGACCTCATCAAATAATTAATATAAATTTAGATAGAAAAAAAATGAAAATAAAGCATTTAAATGGATGAGGTGAATTCAATTGTGCTTCACAACAGTTTGGTTAGTTGGTTAGCTGAAAGTCTTTCTTGAATTCCAGAAGTTTGAACGTTATACACATACAGGCAGGCAAGAAAATGGTTCAGATGTGGTTTTAAAAAGTGAAAACTCTGAAACTAGCACCAATGAAAACCAAGTGGAAAAGGTCATTGGTGATCACATAGTTGTTAATATCTATATATGGGAATTTCAGATGGAATTTGGCTGCTGTCGAATATGACTCAGGAGTTGAAATGATTGGATGGTAAGTACAAGATCCTATAAAATGAAAGCTGAATTGGAAAGACTTAGATTACATATGATGGAACATTTCTGCAAAGAAATAATGTAAATGGTTGTAACTATGCAAGGTGGATCTTTGAGCAATGTTGATTTTAGCTTGCTACAGAGAAAGTTTTAAGAAGTAAAATCTTGTCCAGTGGTTTTCTTTCTGTTGATCTCATGTAGATCATAGTTTAACAAATGTTCTGTATGGATTATAACATTTTACGTTCCTAATTTTCTGAGAAGATTGTTCTGAGCTGTCCAATTAAACTACTACACTAGGGAGTTCCAGGATATTAATCCAGCAACAGTGAAGAAACAATAAGTAACTTGAATTTATTGATGTTCCCATGTAATGGGTTCAGAAGGAGCTTCGGTGCCAATGGCGGATGCAGTGACAATCAAGCTTGTGTGGTCATGGATGGTATCAAGGTTCTTGGGTTTAGTTGGAACTGCATTATTCTTCATCATTGCTGGATTAAAATCTATGTAACATGATACACTACAATACATTTATTGTAGCAAAAGCCAATAGTTCACAGAATAATATGGATTAAACACTTAAATGTATTTCAAATTGCATCAATTATACCATATAATTGCAATATATAATTACATGAATTTTTTCTCCTTCCCTTGAAGTGACAGCCAGAATGGTATCATACTCCTTTGGGTGGAAAACTGCTTCATTTACATTATCAAATATTCCTGCTAAGTGGGCCTGTATTAAAAAGAAAGCAAATATAAAACTTAGATAATATGAAACCTAATCATATTTAGAGTACTTAAGGATGAATTGCATTGTATGTATCTAGACTTATACTTTGAAGCTGGGTTTAAAGGAGTTGCATAATCAGAGGCTGTCATTTTAAGATACAGCCAAAGATGGTTCACAAAATGGGAGTGTTCAGTGCACTAGGGCTGACATTTTTTTTGGAAGTTTTCACAATCACTTCCAAAGAAAACAGTCCCAGTATATTAATATTTTCCTTATAACAATAGCTTCCTGTCTTGAAAGTTAAATTGGAAAGATTGTGAAATTACGTATGATGCAACATTTCTGTAAATGGTTGAAACTAAGCAATGTGGATCTTTGTTTTATCAACTATTTAAAGCAAAATTTACCTTTCCTTTCCAAGTAAGTTTCAATGTTGTGTACTCAGCAGAGTTCTCAGTTTTATCCCTCTGCATCCCCACCTTAATGAATTTTGGCACGACATGAAGGTGAACTCTTCTTCTATCGCCTTCACCTCCATGACCATTTCTTTGGACAGGAATCCTCTCCCTGTCCCACAGATGCCTTTGGCCACCTCCAATACCCTCCCTCCACCTGGACCCCTCCCTCTGGACCTTTACTTGCACTCAAACTGTGTTCGGACAGACCCATTGTTTCTGCCTGCTCCTGCCCCACAGAACTTATTTCTTCCCACCTCGACCCAAATTTTCTCCCCTTGTCCAGCCCCTGTCCACTTACATTCAGCATTCCTCTCACACTTTACATCAGTTTCAGAATTTCCAGTTTGGAGGCTCCAGCTGCGTCCTCTTTACCATGGACATGCAATCCCTTTACACGATCATCTACCACCAGGATGGTCTCATGGCTCTCCACTTCTTCCCAGAAAAAAAGGCCTGAACCATCCCCATCAATCACCACCCTCCTGCAACTGGCCAAGCTCGTCCTCACTATGAACAACGTCTCTTTTAATCCTCTCACTTTCTTCAGGTCAGAGGGATGGCCATGGATACCCGCATGGGCCCCAGTTAGGCCTGATTCTATGTGGGTACGTGGAACATTCCTTGCTCTAGTCCTATGCAAGCCTCCACCCACAATTTCTCTGGTATAGATGACATCATCGGTGCTGCTTCCCTCTCTCATCCAGATTGGAAAGGTTTATCAATTTTGCTTCCAATTTCCACCCCACCCTCACCTTCATCTGGTCCATCTTTGACTCCTCCCTTCCCTTCCTCAACATGTCAGTTTCCATTTCTGGGGATGGGCTGGCTACCAATATCCACTACAAACCCACCAATTCCTACAGTTACCTTGACTACACATCCTGACACCCTGCTTCTGTAAAGACTCTATTCCATTCTCCCAGTTCCTCTATCTCTGTTGCATATATTCTGATGCTGCCAACTTGGACAAGGATGCCACCAAAATCTCCACCTTCTTCCTCAACCAAGCACCGTTTCCCCAGCACCGTTGTTGACAAGGATCTCAGCTGGGTCCAACCCTTTTTTTTATTCATTCATGAGATGAGGGCATGGCTGGCTAGGCCAGCACATTTTGCCCATCCCTAATTGGCAAGAGAGCAGTTATGAGTCCACCGCATTGCTGTGGGTCTGGGGTCTTATATAGGCCAGACCAGGTAAGGACGGCAGTTTCCTTCCCTGAAGGACATTAGTGAACCAGATGGGTTTTTATGACAATCGGCAATGGATTCACAGTCATCATTAGACTCTTAATTCCAGATATTTTATTGAATTTGAATTTTGCCACCTGCCATAGCGGGATTTAAACCCAGGTCCCCAAAACATTACCTGGGTCTCTGCATTAACAGTCCAGCAATAATACCACGACATCATTACCTCCTGCACTACAGCCCTCATCCCTTCTTTTCCTTCCCTCAACAGCAATGGGAACCCCCTTGTCCTTACCCACCATCCCACCAGCATCCACATCCAGACGATCATTAGCTGCCATTTCCGCTACCTCCAGCAAGGATGCCACCACAAGACAAGTGTTCCCCTCCCCTCCCTTGTCAGCTTTCCACAGCGACCATTCCCTCCAGGACCTCTCCTCCATCACTCCCACCACTCCCCCACAGCACCATGGCACCTTCCCTTACAACCTCATAAGGTGTAACACCTGTCCATTTATTTCCTCCCTCCCCACTATCCAAGGGCCCAAACATACCTTCCAGGTGAAGCAGTGCTTTACCTGCACTTCCCACAATCCTACTGCATTTGCTGCTCACAACATGGTCTACTCTACATTGCCGAAACAAAGCGTAAACTTGGTGACCGCTTTGCAGTATACCTATGTTCTGCCTACAAAAAAGACCCTGAGCTTGCAGTTGCCTGCCAGTTCAACACACTACCTTGTTCCCTGGCCAACATCTCTCTCAGGCTTGCTGCGGTGTTCTAGTGAAGCTCAGGACAAGCTGGAAAAACAGCTGCTCATTTTCCACTTGGAAACTCTACAGAATCTGGACCCAATATCAAGTTCAACAATTTTCAGGCTTGAGCTCTCTCATGTCCTTACCCCAATCCCCACACACCAGGCCTTGTTATCACATAGAATGCTATTACACACAACCAATTGTTAGCCACTAACAGTCCCCATTAATAGGTATTCACCCTCCTAGCCTGATCGTTATCCATTCCTTTGCCACTGTTCTTCTCTCTCTTTGGGCTCTATCTCCACCGATAATGTGCTCCTTCCACCCTCTCCCCACCCTATCTTCTGCATAAAAAATATTTTCCTACCTGCCATCAGTTCTGAGGAAGGCTCACTGAACCCAACACGCTAACTCTGATTTCTCTCCAGAGATGTTGCCAGACTTGCTAAGCTTTTCCAGCAATTTCTGCTTTTGTTTCTGATTTCTAGCTACTGCAGTTCTTTTGGTTTTTGTTTGCTTCCTGAGACTACCTTGGTATCTTGATTATCTTTATGCTTTTGTAATGTAGGAGTGTACCCCAGTGGGGACAAAAGCTCAGGAGACAGGCAGGACTCAGGCAAGTGGAAGATGTTTATTCAAGCAGAAACCGGTTAATGCAGGGAGAGGGCCAAAGAATCCTCCCTGAATTGAAAGGGAGATCAATGACACACTCTGATTTTTACAGTGAAAATGCAGCATTTTATACACTTTCTGTTACAATAATCAAATACAGCGTAGTCACTGTCCTTCCCTCTTAATCCATACACCCAATCCTGTGGGACACCTAATCAATGATGGGCATTCCTATGGACAGCCCCAGGTTCCCATGGTTTTATGGCATTTGTAATGTCCAGATCTTGGGATCTTTCTATGCATCCTATTCAGTCGTATTCCAAAAGTTTACTGGCTACAGTCCTTCAGATCTGTCTCAGGCTTCTTATTTTTAAGGACAGTGTGAATTCTATTATTCACTGTACTACATGTGCTTTCTTTTATCAAATTCAGTCATTCCTCTAATATTTCCCACTGTTCTAATTATATATGTAAAAATACAAAAGTTAGTTTTAACTAATTGCTAAAAGGTTAATTTCTATTATAAAGTTAGTTATAAAATGTAAAGTTGCACAGCTACTTCTACTGTTAGCACATTGTAATTAACAGGTTGTAAACAACCTATCAGGGCATAAGATAACAAGGTGCAGGGCTGGATGAACACAGCAGGCCAAGCAGCATCATAGGAGCAGAGAGGCTATATTATACTTTGATTATATGTTGAAAACTACTTCTATGAATACGGAATTTTTAGCTAGAGTCTATTTAATTTTGCAGATAGTTTCAAAGAAGCAACTATATAGTATAAAGTAACTTTAGTTGTTTTTGCAGCTGTTTAGGGAGTTAATCTGGCTGGTTCATGGGCTGAGACTCCCACTTGATGTTATTCATTTACTGGGACAATCATCCTTTCATTAATGAGGATTAGTTACTGATCCATCCTTAGGCAGCTTCTTATCAGAACTGTCTTGGATGGTTGGTGGTAAGGCTCTTTTGCTGACCTTCGAGTTGTTCAAAGGTACCATTGTGTTTCACTTAAATGTTGGAGCAGGCTGTCCCATTTTGTTTTAACCCTTGTCTGCCATTTTATGTCTTTAAAACATGGGCCACTTTGGTGTAAAGCAGGCACGAGTCACTTTGTATGGACAGGTACAGGCCACCCCTACAATTAATTTAAACCTTTTGGGGGTAATTTTAACTTAACCCACCCAATGGGAAACTGACATTAGTAGGTAGCTACCCATTTTACACATCATTTGGTTTTACTTCATACAATCGTAGGTTGAAATCATCTTACAAGTTGAAGGATACTGTATCATTTTCTGTGTAGCTTTTCAGGCAATTGAATCTAATTTATTGAATATTAGAACACATTCAGGTTTCCTGTTATAAGGAGTAAACTGCTTCTACAATAGTTTGCCATACTTTCAAAATTCCATAACTACCATTTCATTATTATCTGTCATAAGCAACAAAGTTTTCCATCAAAAAAGATTTACCAGTTTTTAAGAATATAAGAATTAGGAACCAGAGTATATCACATTTTTCTACCATTCAGTAAGGATATGTCAGAGCTTTTGCATCAACTCTACATACGAATCTCAGTTCAATGATGAACACACTTAGCAACTGAGCAACCATAATCCTCTGAGGTAGAGAATGTCGAAGATTCATAAAGCCCTGAGTGAAGGAATTTCTCCTCATAGAGTCACAGAGTCATACAGCACAGAAACAGACCCTTCGGTCCAGCCAGTCCATGCTGAACATAATCCCAATCTAAACTAGTCCCGCCTGCCTACACTTGGCCCATATCCCTCCAAACCTTTCCTATTCACGTGTATATATTCAAATGGCTTTTAAATGCTGTAATTATACCTGCTTCCACCACTTCCTCAGGTGGTTCATTCCACACACGAACCCCACTCTGTGTAAATAAATTGCCTCTTATGTCTTTTTTAAATCTCTCTCCTCTCACTTAAAATTGTGTCACCTAGTCTTAAAATTCCCCAAACTAGGTAAAAGACAACTACCATTAACTCTATCTATACCTCTCATTATTTTACAAACTTCTATCAGGTCGCCTCTCAGCTTCCTCGTGAAAAAAGTCCCAGCCTATCCAGCCTTTCTTTATAACTCAAACCTTCCACACCCAGCAACATCCTGGTAAATCTCTTTTGAACCCTCTCCAGTTTGATAATATCCTTCCTATCAATGAGCAACCAGAACTGGACACAGTATTCCAGAAGAGGCCTTACCAATGTCCTGTACAACCTCAACATGACTTCCCAACTCCTATACTCAAAGGACTCAGCAATGAAGGCAAGTGTGCCAAATGCCCTTTTAGCCACGCTGTCTATATGTGACATAAACATCAAAGAATTATGCACGTGAAACCCTAGGTCCCTCAGTTCTACAACACTACCCAAGGCCCTACGATTAATTCTCAGTCTTACATGATCACAGCATGTGAATATCCTTTATGCAAAGTGACAAAGGTTACATTCAAAGGTCAGCCAACTTTCACAACATGCATTTATTAATGGGAAAATGATCACAATCTCTCTTAGCTACTAAAATAAATTAATGGCCTTTTACTGTGTTAGGAATCAATCAAGATCCAAGAAATCAGGGAGGATAAGGAGTTGAAGGAAATTAGTATTCAAAGTAGGTTGTTCTGAAGAATGAAATGGGGCTGAAAGTTGATAAGTCCCCAGCACCTGACATTCTACACCCAAAAGTATTGAAGAGGATGGCTACAGAGATAGTTGATCAATTGGAGATCATCTTCTAAAATTACATAGATTTCAGAATGATTCCTGCAGATAGAAAGCTAGTCACTGTCAACACACAATCTAAGAAATAAGTGAGAGGGGACTAATGGGGAACTACATACCTGTTAGCCATACGTCAGTAGTAGGGAAAATGATAGAATCTATTATAAAGGAAGAGAGAAATGGGCTGTTGAGTGATAATGGCCTAAGTGGGTGTAGTCAACATGGATTTGCAAGTGAGCAATCATTGTTTGATTAACTGGTTGGAGTTCTTTGAGAACTTTCCTAACACAATTGTTGAAAGGTGTGACAATGGACTTAGCATACATGGATTTTCAGAATGCTTTTGATAAGTTGCCTCAGTCATGTATGGTTAGCAAAATTAAAGCACATGTGATAGGATGTAATATGCTGACATGGGATAAAGATTGGCTTCTAGACAGAAAATAAAATGAGTTTTGTTTTACACGTGAAGTGGCATCATTGTCAGGGCCATCATTTATTGCTCATCCCTAGCTGACTTTGAGAAGGTGTTGGAGAACAACCTTCTTGAGTTGCTACAGTTCATTTGCTGTACGTAGGCCCACAATGTCTTTAGGAAAGGAATTGCAGGATTTTTACCCAGGGACATGGAAGGAAAGATGATTTATTGCCAAATCTTATTTTGTAGGGCTTCGAGGGGAACTTGCAGGTGTTATCCTTGTCCTTCTAAAGTTACTGGTCATAAGTTGGAAGGTGCTATCTAGAGAGCATTGGTGGACTTTAACAGTGCATCCTGTAGATGCTACACACTGCTGCAATAGAACTGATGGAGGGACTGAATGATTTTGAATGCAATGCCTATCAAGAGGCTTGCTTTATTCACGATGGCACCACGTTTTTTGAATGTTGCTGGAGCTGCATTCATCCAAGCAAGTAGGGAGTGTTCCATCACACTCCTGATGAGTACATGAGCCCAGCTACAGTATATATCTCAATGATTTAATTGTGGGATCAAATGCAATATTTTCAAATTTGTGGATGATACAAAGCTAAGCTAGGCTCTTGTGTCAGAGTAGTGTCCCTACCACTGGGCCAGGAGGCCTGGGTTCAATTCCATATGCTCCAGAGGTGTGTAATAACACATCTGAACTGGTCAATTAGGAAAATACAAACATAAGCGGGAATGTGCATTGCAAAGAAATATAGAGTGGTTTCAAGAAAAATTGGACGGAATTAGTGAATGGGCAAGATCATGGCAGTTGGAATATTCTTTGGAAAAATGTGAGAGTATCCATTTTGATAGGAGGAATAGATGTGCAGACCATAAGAAGTAAATGGATAGAAGCATGCATTTGATTTCTACATTGCAGCAGGCTTCAAAAGTAAAGGTCTTAGCAACTTTCATCAGTGGTACCAGGTTGTCAAGTTTGCTACTATTTTTCAGGTCATAATGAGCATCTGAGTTAGGAGCAGAAATAGGTTATTTGGCCTTCAGGCCTGTCGCACCATTCAATAAGATCATGGCTGACCTATTTGTTTGTAAATTCCATATTTCCATCTATCCCCAAAATCCTTTGATTCCATTGCCTAACAAGAATCAATTTACCTCCACCTTAAAAGTATTCAATGACCTTGCAATTGCCTGCTTCTGAGACAGATTCCAAAGTCTCAAAAGCCTCTGACAGAAAAAAAAATCCTCATCTCTGTCCCCTAATTTTGAAAAATTGCTCTTTGTTATGGACTGATCCACAAGAGGAAACATCCTGTCCATGTTCACCTTGTCAAGACCATTCAGGATCTTATTAACCTCAATCAAATCACCCCCTGCCCTTCTTAACTAAAATCAAAACAGGCCAAACTGTCCACTCTATTTTCATTAGACAACCTACTCATTCCAGGTATCAATGTATTAAACCTCCTCTGAACCACCTCCAACACATTTACATCCTTCATTAAATAAGTAATCAAAATGTACACAGTATTTGAGATGTGATCTCACAAATGTCATGTAGGACTAAAGCATAACATCTTTTCTTTTATGTTCAATTCCTCTCATAATAAAGGATAGTATTCTATTACAACAAAAACAAAGTTGCTGGAAAAGCTCAGCAGGTCTGGCAGCATCTGTGAAGGAAAAAACAGAGCTAATGTTTCAGGTCCAGTGACCCTTCCCCAGAACCGGACCCGAATCATTAACTCTGTTTTTTCCTTCGCAGATGCTGCCAGACCTGCTGATCTTTTCCAACAACTTTGTTTTTATTCCTGATTTACAACATCCGCAGTTCTTTCAGATTTTAGATAGTATTCTATTAGTTTTTTCAATCACCTTAGTGCATGCTAAGTTTTTGTGACTTGTGAATTGGAACACCCAGATTCCTCCGCACCTCAGTATTCTCTATTTAAGTCATGTCTTGCATCAGTATTTGTAATGTGAGGTGCTTGTGCTCTATAAAGAGCCGCATTGAAATTCAGAGATAACAAGGTGTAGAGCTGAATGAACACAGCAGGTCAAGCAGCATCAGAAGAGCAGGAAAGCTGACATTTCGGGTCTGAACCCTTCTTCAGAAAATGTTATCTCAGATTCCCCGGCATTGGCAGTTCCTACTATCTCAGCATTGAAATGCAGATGTGTATTGTAAGCGTATCAGAGATAAGTCATGACAATACAGTGAGGATGGTATATGTAAGATACCAAAGTCAATGAACATAAGGTGCATTTTGCCACTGCCCTTGCAGCATGCCCTGAGATGCTGGCACCTGTTCAAGATGGAGATCTGGAGGAGTAAGCAGCAAGCTGGAGTCTCCAGGCATTAGCTCAGACTTTCATATCAGGAATTCTTGGCATCAAGCTTCTATCTGGCAGAAGGGAGAGTGAGAGCTTGCACATTAGTGAGGCAAGATGAGGATGATAGTGAGCAATAATAGGCTTCTTGCTGTTCATTCATGAGAATCTTGTCTCAAGGCTTGGGATTTGCTTGGTCCCAATATCAAGCAGTGCACTCTCGACATCTCACCTGATGTTTTCTCTTATGCAGGAGAAAAGAATTAGTAGACACAGCATAAAACAGGAGATCTACCTTTTAAAACACAGATAAGAATGTTTCTTTTTCTTTCAGAGTGTAGTTAGTCTGTTGTCCATCCGGCTGCTCGGAGAAATGACAAGTGGTGAGTTTGGCCTGAGGGTTACCATACCTTAGGCGAGGGCCAAGGAAATGGGACTTTCATGGTGATTTCAGCCTGTGCAAGAATTGAGTCCATGCTGTTGGCATAACTCTGCATGGCAAACTGGCCATTCAACCAACTGAGCTTAATTAGTCTCCCTGGGACTATGGGACTTTACTTTTTCAGTATGTGGTATTCTCTTCCTCAGAATACAGTAGAAACTGGATTATTGAACTTTGGCATGTTTGATTGATTTTTTGAGAGACAAGGGAGTCAAGGGTTGTGGAAGCTGACAAGAAAGTGGAGTTGTGACCACAACCCAATCAACTAATGGTGGAGCAGACTCAAAAAGACAAATGGACTGTTCTTGCTCCTAAGTTTTATGTTCCTATATAAAGAAGTCACACCATGACATCCTGATGGGCAGTTAGGGATGGACAGTAATTTTTGGCCTTACCAGAAATGTCCACCTCAAATAAATGAACAAGTAAAAACAGGACAGTTTTATCGAAGAACACAAGGAGATTAGCCCCCGTGGCCTTCTTGCATACTGTGTCATTCTCTGATTTTGTACCTAGGTATAGCACAGTATATTTGCTGTTTGATAGTTGTTAAATTTCTCTGGCTGTACATTTCCTAGACTATCACAAAAGAGCTACAAAGGTTACAAGCAATAACTGTGTCAATTTACGCCATTTTTTTTGTAAACATTGTTAAAAACACTCAAACAAACCTGGATGGTGTGTGAATCACTAGCTTGTCCAAGGATTTCCAGCAAAGCTGGATCAGAGACAAAGAAGAATCTAGGAAATAACAATCTCTTCTTTTCCAAATAACTGCAAAAAATGTAAATTTTTAAACCTGTAAGCAAATATCTAAAAACAATCTAATTCTAGTTTTCCTATACATTTAGTTTTAGGTGACTATAATCATTTAATGTTACTGTGATATCTCTTTTCGTGCTGAAACTATCATTGTTTCTATGTCCTGTGAACCTGAATGTGGTGAGTCATCTTGTCCAGTAATTTCAGGTATCAACTAGGACTTAGTCATTGCATTTGTGTGTCTCTGGATTTGATTATAGCATAAATATTCCAATAGAAATGTAGTAGTTACGGCAATTTAGACAGAACTTGCATGTCAGAACCATGTGGAAATGTAGATGCTGTGGACTCCACCTTATCTTCTCTCGTTAGCTGTTAAAGTGGTTTAAGGACCCTTAAACAACAGAATATGGCACTGAGATAACAAGGTGTAGAGCTGGATGAACACAGCAGGCCAAGCAGCATCAGAGGAGCAGGAAAGCTGACGTTTCGGGTCTGGAGACAACAAGCTGCAGGGCTGGATGAACACAGCAGGCCAAGCAGCATCATAGGAGCAGAGAGGCTGACGTTTCGGGCCTAGACCCTTCATCAGAAAAGGGGGAGGGGAAGGGGGTTTTGAAATAAATAGGGAGAGAGTGGGAGGCGGATAGAAGAGGGATAGAGGAGAGGTTTTCCGGAGGGAGGAGGGTAACTTCTTCAGGTTAGGCATCCTTAGAAGAAGGGTCCGGACCCGAAACGTCAGCTTTCCTGCTCCTCTGATGCTGCTCGGCCTGTTGTGTTCATTCAGCTCTACACCTTGTTTTCTCAGATTCTGCAGCATCAGCAGTTCCTACTATCTCAGAATATGGCACTTCTCCCGAGAAAGGGATGCTTATTTCAGCACAGGTCCTCTGTGGTACTGGCTGTGCAATGCAGATTCCTGCAATCATCCACTCTACTTTGGCTGGGAATGCTCTTCACCCAGAAATTTGCTCACAAAGGCACACAAAAGAAAAATGAGTAATCTTTTGTCAGATCTGAATGTGAAATTGGAATTCTGATCTCAGGCCTATATTCCTAAATAAGGGTCAAACAGCAGCAAAATGTCATCAGTTCCAACAAATCTGCTCTAACTATAATTCAATAGCATCATCATAACTTTTGCCTCAGCTGCATCTTTGTATACTATTACAAAATCCCTTGATTCCCTTGGCTTCGAGAAACCTCCTAATCTGTTGACACTCTAATGGGCTGGATTTTCAGTCTGAGATCTGGAATCCAGTGTCTGGGTCATTTCCAGTTCCCAATCCTGCACCATGTAGGAGTAGGCCATTTAGCCCCTTAAGCTTGGTCTGCCATTCAATAAGATCATGATTGATCTGTGGTCTAACTCCATATGCCTACAATATCCCTTGATACCCTCGCTTAATAAAAATTTGTCTATCTCAGATTTAAGTTTAACAATTGAATTAGCATCGAACCCCATTTGGGGAAGGGAGTTCCAAACGTTCACTTCTCTTTGCATGGAGAAATGCTTTATAATATCTCCCCTGAATAGCCTGGCCCTAATTCTCAGACTATGTTCCTTAATTCTAGAATCTTCAACCAGTGGAAATAGTTTATTTTTATTCTATCTTTCTTCAGTAATATCCTGAAAATTTTGATTAGATCAAACTTTAACAGTCTACATTCTAAAGAATAAAAGCCTCATAACTTACCCCTAAAATCTAGATATCATCCTGGTAACCCTGCATTAAACTCCTTCCAGGGCCAAACATCCTTCCTAAGGTGTGGTGCCCAGATCTGCTCACAGTACTGTAGTCTGACCAGGATTTTGAATAACAGCAGCATAATGTCTGCATCCTTATCCTCCAGTCCTTTAGATATGAAGGCTGGCTTTCCATTGGTCTTGACTATTTTCTGCACTTTTTCATGGCATTTTAAAAAGCCATGTACCTGAACACCTAAATCACATTGAACATCCACTGTATTTAACCTTATATTTTCTAAAAAAAAAAATCCCTGATCTATCCTTTATCAGGCCAGAATGGAAAACCTCACACTTGTTAATCCTAAAATCCACGTGCTACGTCTTTGCCCATTCACCTGATCTGTCAATTTCCTGTCGTAATTTTATGCCATCATCAACACTATCCACAATGCTGCCTAATTTTACGTCATCAGCAAATTTGGATATGTGATTTTTTATGCCATTATCCAAGTCGTTAATGAATATTGTGAATAATTGAAGCCCAAACACAGATCCCTGAGGGAAACCACTAGTCACATCCTGCCAATTTGAGTGACTTACCCATTATTCCAACCTTCTGTTTCCTGCCACTCAAGCAAGTTTCTATTCATGTCAATAATTTGCCCTCAATTCTGTGGGATGCCACCTAAGCTAGCAGGGTCTTGTGTGGGTGTTATTAAAAGTCTTCTGAAAATCCATATAAACAACATTGATTGACTTATCTCTGGCAACCATCTTTGACATCTCTTCAAAAAACTCTATGACGTTTGTCAGGCATGACCTACCCTTGATGAATCCATGCTGACACTCCCTGATTAGCTGAAATTTTTTGAGGTGATCAGTTATCCTATCCTTGACTGTAGATTCCAGCAATTTCCCCACAGCAGATGTTAGGCTAACTTGTCTATAATTCCCTGGTTTCCCTCTGTCACTCTTCTTAATTAGCAGAGTGACATGAGCAAATTTCCAATCCAAAGGTACAACTCCTGAAACCAGGGAACTCTGAAAGCTGATGATTGGGGCATCAGCAGTGTGCTCTTCTACTGCCTTTAACACCTATGGATGGAAAACATCAAGTCCTGGGGATTTGTCACTGTTCAGTTCCATAAATTTCCCCATCTTTGATGATGTCCTGCAGCTAATATTGTTTAGAGCGTATCCCTGATCCTCTGTTAATTGCTTCAGGACTTACAGCAAACTATCCTTCTTTTCTGCTGTGAATACTGAAGCAAAACAATCATTCAGCATGTTTGCCATTTCTCCATGATCATTGTCAGTATCTCTGCTCTCAGCCTTCAGGCGGCCAATAGAACTCCTAAGCAGCCACCTTCTCTCTATATAACTATAAAATCTCTTCTTATTGTCCCTTGCAAGTTTCCTTTCACAATCCTTTTTAGTTGCTCTTATAAGTAGTTTTGTGGCCCTTTGTTTGTCTTTGTATTTGTCCATTCTATGGGATCTATACTGTTCTTTATGTTTATAAACCCTTTGTTTTAATTTTAATTTTATGCAATCCCTTGGCTCCTTTGATGTCCATGACTGTTTCTTTTGTGAGGTGGAGTTTTTTCTTCTCATGAGTACAAACTGTTTCAAAATAGCATTAAATGTTTCTTTGAATACCTAACCATAATCCTGAACCTATGAATACCCTCTAATGTTCCTCAGTTGTTTTACATATTAACAAAGCTTCCCAGTGTACTGTGGACAATCTCTGCCTCATCCCATTAAAGTCTGTCTTACTTAAATCCAAAATTCCAGTGTCCAATCTTTGCTTGTCTCTTTTACAAATACTATGCGAAACTCGATCACATAATATCACAATTTGACAAATGCTGATGAACAATTAGGTCACTAATTAAATCAGGCTTATTGCTCATTACGAGGTCCAATATTGCTTGTCCCCTTGTCACATCAAAGACATATTCCTGCAGGAAACTATCCCCGACACACTCTAGAAATTCTTAATCTTTCTGACAGTGCTTGTGCTTCCCAGTCTATCTTAATATTAAAATCCCCATCAATACTACTCTACCTTAGATGCGTAGCTGCTTAATTTCAGTAGTTATACAATCTAGGATTTCTGAGCTGCTACCAGATGGCCTACATATGACACTTATGGGGTTTTAGTTCCTTTACATTCCTTTTAGTTTCTTTCCTCGGTTCCACCCATAAGGTCTTCACTGGGTGCTTTCCCGTCGTTACGTCCTCCCTCACTATTTACGTGATTCTTCTTCCTAATCAATAATGCTAATCCAAAGCCTCTATTGTATTCTTTATTCCTCCTGTAAATCTTATAACCTGGTATGTTTAGTTCCCAGTCCTGATCATCTTGTAGCCATGTCTCTGTAATTGCCACTACACTATAACTTCCAATTTGAATCTGTGCCTGCAGCTCATTTGCTTTGTTCCTTACACTCAGTGCATTTGTATGAAGTACTCTAATTTTGGCTATACACTCTGTTCTGTCCATCAGCATCGTCAGAAATCACACAACACCAGGTTATAGTCCAACAGGTTATTTGAAAAAACAAGCTTTCGGAGTCTTACTCCTTGTTCAGGTGTTAGTGAGAGAGGTGGTATCAGACACAGAATTTATAAGTAAAAGATCAAAGGGTCACACCATTGATGAGGATGTACTAAATAAACCTAAGATGTTGTTAAATGTTTAATCAGTTAGAAGGTTTTAATTGATTAATATGTATATGTAAATTACCGAATTCCTTTCAAGTCATTGTCCTAAGAGAACTAAAGGTTTTATCAGTGTAAAGAAGAGGTGACATTTTAGGTCAGGCAATGCATGTTAAGTGAGAGAACTTGTTTAGAATCTGTTTGTGTTTTGGTTTGGAGTCATTCTGGTTTTATTTCTAAAGTAGGAATTTTTAAAACGCTATATTGGCTGACTGTCTATAAAATTGTGTGCATTTTGAACAAAATAAAATGTATCTGCAAATACAAATTCACTCCATAGATTCAAGTGTGTATGTGTGTGTGGGTGAGTGTGGGGAGAGTGTGTGTGTGAGGCGGGAGAGACATTGTGTGTGTGTGGTGGCAGGGAAGAGATTGTGTGTGTGTGGGGCGGGGAAAGAGATTCTGGCTGTGTGGGGGAGGGGAGAGAGATTGTGAGTGTGAGGGGAGGAAGAGAGAGTGTGCGTTGGGGGTGTGAGAGAGAGAGTGTGTGTGGGGGGTAGAGAGAGTATGTGTTGGGGTGGAGAGAGAGTGTGTGTGTGGGGGGACGTAGAGAGAGTGTGTGACTGGGCAGGGTAGAGAGAGTGTGTGTGTGGTG